TCGGTGGTCCTTCTAGAGACCAGCACTCATCACGTCTGAGGTCACCAGTTTGTAGGAGCAAACACAGTAGTGGTGGTGTTAGAGTTTATTGAAGGATAAATGTGTTTTCATAATGTGTTTTCATAATGTGTTATCATAAATATGTTACAAAGAGACTCTAGTCAGAAAAGAGGAACAGAGAATAGTCTGTTCCGTGGACCATACACACACACACACACACACCCACATGACTGCGAGTCACAAGACTCCCATTGACAAATAAGGCGTTGGTCATAACCACTTCCTCATGCATGATATGTAACTGTATTGTTGAAATAAAAAGACTGCACTGAGAGAAGACGAGTAGAGTTGGTTAAGGAGTGGACATTGCATGTCACTCGCCGATTCTCCTTGCAGCAAGTAAACTTGAAACTCGAGTACTGTTATCTCTGTTCACTGGATTTTGGTTATTGAACCGAGCTGGGGTTTTACCCTTACAAAGTAATATAGATACCTCACATTAATTGGTCCTTCGGAGCCGGATTCCAACACATCGTGACGGGAAGGAGGAAGGAAAAGACACGCCGCAGTCTGTCGACAGCCGGGATCATCAGCCGACCCCGAGAAAGACCCGGGACGCAGAATTCGTGGCCGGGCCGGTGCTTATATGTCCAACCTCCCTCATCCTAGGCACGATTGACGGAATCCAACCGGACCAGTGACCACAGATAACGGGTAAGATAAAACGTTGATATACACGGTTACTCCGCCATTAAGGAGGTTGATAAAACGTTGATATACACGGTTACTCCGCCATTAAGGAGGTTGATAAAACGTTGATAGAGAAAGGCTACTCCGCCTAGAAGGAGGATCAACGTGCCTTTGGGTACACTTATGAGTGATTGAGTGAAAGCGGTGTGTAAAAGTGTCACCAGTGGAATCAGCGCACAGAGTGGAAACCTAACGGTGATAACACAAACTCTGTGGTCTGTTGAAGTACACGTAGTGGTGAATTAGGAATTAGGTTCCGACCGGCACGTTGTCCAGTAGGAACACCAAGCTAGAATCATGGGGTCCAATGGGAGTAAGCCTGCCGCTACAGGGGACATGAGATATATGGACATATATGGCAGCACCAGTTATTGTAGCAAATGGTATAAACTGTACGGCTTCCAAGGAAAGCTGGAGAAAACAGCAGTAAGAGAATTAAGCGACAAATTGAGAGCAGCAACAGCTGGAACAACACAAGGCAAGAAAAGAAAGAAGTTAGAAGCTCAACTGCGGGTTGCAGCTTTATGGGCTGAACAAGCCCATAAAAGGACAGGTGGAGCAGAAGAAGGTATGATAGCAGCGGCTGTTTCAGTGAAAGCAGACGAGGAGACAGGGCGTTCAGGGTCAGTTGACGCTGTACGCCGCGAGAAAGAGAGAGCGATAGTGGAAGAACACAAAGCGCAGGAACAAAGAATAAAAAGGAAGCAAGAGAAAGAGAGAAAAGACAGGGAAAGAGAGACACAAAAACGCATCGACAAAGAAATGGCAGATGCATTAAGCCCACTGCACACCAGAAAAAATAAGGGAGAAACCAAGTTATATCCTGTTGAAGAATTAAGAGAAGCAGAAAAATCCTTCGACGGAACAGCATGTCAGGGTGACGCTTATCCATTAGTACAAGTGGCCAACCCGCACTATGGAGTTGGCGATGACCAAGAAAGAATGTTAAGAGTGTTCCGCCCATGGACAATGGATGAGTGTAAAAAGGCTTGTGAGGGACTGACTCCATACAAACAGGACCCGGCGCAGTTTGTCCTTGACCATACTGCATTAATAGCGTCATATGGTTTAAATGGACATGAAGTTTTAAGAACCCTTATGACAATCTTTGGCCACGAATGGGCCAGGGTAAAGGGAGATTTCACCGGGTCCTGGCCCAATGGAAACCCCCTGGAACCAGGTCAGCAGGACCTCATCAATGCACTCGCTCCCGTAAATATCTCAATCGAGAGGGTTTTTGCACTGAGACGAGACTTTACTAAAGTCTCAGGGTGTAGACAGGGAGAAAAAGAGTCAGTACAAGATTTCAGAATCAGAATGGAAGATTGTTTCCGTATCCATAGCGGAATTCCACCCAACAATGCTGTTGACTCCCCATATGTGCAGCAGCTGAAACAAAGCCTGATGAATGGGTTCCACCCAGGTATTGCTGACTTTATCCGCAAGCATAATGTTAACCATAGGACATGCGACTTACAAGAGTGCCTAAATTATGCAGAATATGCAGCAACCAGATCAAAGAAAAAAGACATAAGAAAGCGTCAGCATCAGCTTTCTTCATAGGAGAAGATGGGGAAGAAAATCAGATTTTCTTTGTGGGACCAGGACAGGGGAGAGGCGGGTTTAACAGAGCACGAGGGAATGGTAGAGGAACAGGCAGAGGCAGAGGAGGAGGCAGAAACGCAGAAGGCAAATTCCTCTGCTACAGGTGCGGAAAGGAGGGGCACATGGTGAGAGACTGTGAGGAACAGAGACCACAGAACAAAGAAGGGGGACAAAAGGGACAGTACAAAGACGAAAGACATGGCCCCCCCCCTTCACATAACCTACATAGTTATGACAACTGACTAGACGTAGAAAAGGAAGAAGAGGACGTCCACACACATCACATTGACCTTTCTGAAGTATTACTGAATCTGTCAGACAACAGTATTAAACCTACCAGGACAATCGAAATCAATGGGGAAAAATTTGAATTCTTATGTGACAGCGGTGCAGACTCATCAGTAGTGAACAAAGAGGTCCAAAGAATGTGGCCACCAACTGGCACTATGTTTGTAAAATCAGCAAATGGACACATAAATCAGAGGTCGATTTCAAAGCCACTTTTTATGGAAGATAGAAGGTCAGGCCTCCAGGCATCCCTCAAATTTGTGTTCATCTCAAACTGCCCTGTCAATTTGCTAGGGAGAGACGGCATGGAAATGTTAAAAATCAGTGTAGTACCAGTCAAAGGGGGAATGCGAGCAGTAGGGCCCGGAGAAAAGGTGGAAGACCAGGTCTTCCTTCAAAAATCCATAAACACCCCCAACTACTACTGGTCACTAGACATGCCACAACCTGACGTGACAAACACAAGTGAACACCTGTTAACACTATTCACCCCACAACATGGCCAATAAGTAATGAAACCTGACGCATTGCACGTTACACTAAAGTACAAGAACACCCCTGGCCCAGACAAAGACTATGATGTGCTCGTGCATCGACTGACACCACAGAGGGTAGTGTTCCACTCGATGTATGCAAACCAACACGGGGATGTTGCAATTGACGCTAGGGTCCCATCAACCACTGCCTTGATAATGGAACCAGGTTCCACGCCACACATATCAGTAGCTAGGGGCCCAGAGACTTCATGGAGAGACTTAGGTTTATTAGTGGCTAGAGGTAACAGGATAACAAAATGGACAGATGACAAAAACGGTTGGCAAACTGGAGGCGGGTTAAAGCGCAAAACTCTAGGGTTTACCTTAGTGATGACACCACGCGCCCACCTAGACGACCCTGAACAACAATGATGTATGCTAAGTGAAGAGGCCTTAGAGGTCCTGAAAACGGTGCCGCCATGCGTATGGTCACAAGGAAAATGTGATGTAGGTCGCATGGTGAACGCAAAACCTGTACACGTTAGACCAAAAACTAACTACAGACCTAACATAAGACAATACCCCTTAAAAGAGGATGCAAAAGTTGGCATCAAACCTGTAATTGAAGAAATGCTAAAAGCAGGGATCCTGCGTGAGTGCCCTGATGCATCATGCAATACCCCCATCTTCCCAGTAAAAAAGGCTGATGGGCAGTCATGGAGAATGATTCAAGACTTAAGAGCAGTAAATTACGCTGTACAAAGCACAGCCCCAACAGTACCAGATCCACACACGTTAATGAACGGCCTTAAGCCAAATATGGCATGGTTCTCAGTGATAGACTTGAGCAATGCCTTTTTCTCCATTCCTGTAGAAAAAGACTCACAAGGATGGTTCGGGTTCACACATGAAGGAACAAAGTACACATACACCAGATTACCTCAGGGGTATGTGGATAGCCCAACAATCTTTTCACAAGAAATAGCAAATTGTTTGGCTACATTACAGATACCTGACACATCGCAGATTTTGGTATATGTAGATGATATTCTTGTTGCGTCACCCACACAGGAAGAAAGCACAAAAGTCACACTACAAGTACTGACACATTTGGCCAAAACAGGAAACAAGGTTTCAAGACAGAAACTTCAGTTTGTGAAAGAGGAAGTGATCTTTTTAGGCCACAATTTAAACCGAGAAGGGAGACGCATACACTCAGAGAGGAAACAGACGGTGTTAAACGCACCAAAACCAACAACAAAAAAACAAATGATGCAATTCCTTGGGCTGACTAACTATTGCAGAGCATGGGTTCCAGACTACGCAGGAATGACTCAGCCCCTACTAGATTGCATATACTCAGACAATGACATGAAAATGTCCGGCAAGATAGAATGGACACAAGAGGCAGAAGCTGCATTTGAAAGGACTAAACAGTGTCTCGTAGGGTCATCAGTGTTAGCATTACCAGACTATGAAAAACCATTTGTACAAACAGTTGACTGCAAAAAAGGGTTTATGACATCAGTATTGGCCCAAAAACACGGCACAAAACTAAGGCCTGTCGCTTACTACTCTAAAAGGTTAGACCCAGTAGCACAAGCATTACCAGTATGCGTACAAGCAGTATGTGCGGCAGCAATGGCGGTACATTGTACAGCAGAAATAGTTTTGTTCCACCCACTCACACTGATGGTTCCACACGCAGTCACCATGTTGTTACATGACACCAAAATGGCTTTCTTATCACCTGCACGTTATTTGGCACTGACAGCTACACTAATGTCAAACCACACATTGTGATAAAAAGATGTAATATCTTAAATTCAGCCACATGAATACCTACAGCAGAAGATGGAGAACCACACTGTTGTAAAGAAGAGACTGACAGAACATGCAAACCAAGACCAGATTTGAAAGACATACAACTACTTAGTGGCGAAACATGGTTTGTGGATGGGTCCTGTTCTAAATCTATAACAGGCCAAAATCAAACAGGGTTTGCAGTTGTATCACACACACAGGTCATAAAAGCAGGCCAACTCCCCCACACATATTCTGCACAAGCAGCGGAATTAGTAGCTCTTACAGAAGCATGCAAAGCGGGGGTTGGAAAAGATGTGACTATGTGGACAGACAGCCAGTATGCGCACTCAACAGTACATATATTTGCAGCCCAATGGGCCCGCAGGGGCATGAAAACGTCAACAGGAAAACCAGTCACCCATGCACAGCTGCTGACTGATCTTTTAAAAGCGGTGTTGTTGCCGAAAAGCATTGCTATATGCAAATGTGCTGCGCACACCAGTGGGAAGGATGCAGTAACACTTGGCAATGCACACGCGGATAAGGTAGCGAAGCTAGCAGCTATGGGCGAATATCGGTTTCATATCCTCTTGCAGAAGGGGGAAAGTGTTTCACAACCGATACCTCTTGTGATATTAAGGGATATGCAGAACAGCGCACCCGACAGAGAAAAGAAGAAATGGTTGACAGATGGTGCAACCACAGACCCTGAGGGAACATTCAGAATAAACAACAAGATAGTACTCCCTGTTAGTCTCTACAAAACAGCAGCTCATTTGAGTCATGGGCCGTGCCATGTCTCAACAGGAGGGATGGTGACAATAATAAATGAACACTTCCATACATACAACTACATTAGATTTTCTAAAAACTTTTGTAGAGCCTGTGTAGTATGTTGCAGACACAATGCTCAAGGCAATGAGCGACCACAGAGAGGAAAGTTCCCTCCACCAACATACCCGTTTCAACACATGCATATGGACTTCATCGAACTAACACCATGCCAAGGGTACAAATACTGTTTGGTAATGATATGTCCGTTTTCAAAGTGGGTTGAAATATTCCCAGCAAAACATGCAGACGCTATTACCGTAGAAAAAGCCATATGCAAGACAATAATACCAAACAGAGGTATTCCAGAGAAACTGTACAGTGATAATGGTTCCCATTTTGTAAATCAGGTTATTACCAAACTGTCCGAACATATGGGGATAACATTAAAAAACCATTGTGCAGATCATCCACAGAGTGCAGGCTTAGTGGAAAGAACAAACGGAACAGTAAAGTTAAGACTAAGGAAAACAATGGAAGAAACAGGAAGACCATGGGTGGAATGTGTGTCTCTAGTAGAAACATGCATGAGAATCACGCCCACGGCAAAAGGGTTGTCTCCCTTTGAGATCATAACAGGAAGGCAATTCAGACTACCAATCACAGACGAGGTGAGGGAGGAGGATGATGCTGAGGCAGAGACTACATTAGCTGAATGGATGAGCAGACTCTTCAGAAGCAATGAGATAGCTCGAACAAATAACTTGCCAGACATTTCTACTCCCTTACAGGATACTCGAGTGCAGACTGGTGACCAGGTCCTCGTGAAGGTGATTAAGAGGAAGCATTGGCACTGTCCACGGTGGGACGGTCCCTACACGGTACTGCTGACAACACCGACTGCACTAAAAATCGCCGAAAGAACTACGTGGATACATCAGAGCCACTGCAAAAAGATAATACCTCTCCAACTTAACGACGGATAAGTGGTGGAAGTCCGGCTACAAAGGGCGGTGTTTCATTAGGAAATACTGGTCTCAACCCCGGTGAAGAAAACAACAGAACCACTATCACAAATAGACTATGTTGGGAAAGGTGTTGTTTGTAGTGACCCTGCTGGGTCTGACGCTAATGACTATAATAAGACAATTGAGTGAGGAATCCTCGACAACAAAAAAAGGTCCATCGAGAGAAAAAATGGTCATTACTCAACGATGACCCATGGAACCACAACGACAAAACTGCACGCTCACCTAGGATGACAAATGCCTGGTATGCCTATGTCCATCAACTTGTTACAAAGACAGGGCGTTCAAATTGTTATGTTTGTTCCCACATGCCATGGTCAACTGGACAAGTAACTCTGTATGGTAAAATGATGAGTAAATCACAAGCTAAATGTTTTGCTACCATGGGAGGTGTAGGATACCAGCACTCAGGGATAAAAGTCAACGATGTGAATCCATATGCCTCAGGTTTAAGCAATGGCACTTGTAATAAGATATTTTGGGTGAACTTTAACATGACAGTGACAAAAGGTAGTCATGCCAAATAATGAAGCTATACACCCTATGTGTTACAGTCAGACAGAAGGTTCTGTACCAATGGGAAACACCACTGGTTGTAACCAGACACTTGTTAATGGTGAAGGGGCTCCAGTCTATTTGAGCAAACAATCTAATGGTACATGGTGGGTACAAGGAGGATGGTGGCTGTGTGGCAACAACGCTTATCCAGTTCTGCCAATAAATTGGACAGGCACATGCGCACCAATATTTGTTAGCGACCACACCTTCGTGATAGACATAGAACCACACCTTAACCACACCCGCAGGAGGAGAAATGCCATGCCTGCCTTCAAAGAACATGATTCAGTATGGGGAAAAGATGTCCCTGATGAATTCAAACACTGGTCCACCAGTGGAAAGGTAATATTGGCATTGACTCCTGCCTTAGGCGTAGCAAAGAACATGTTGAGACTCGAAACCCTTGATTACCGGTTCGGCATGTTTGTAAATAATTCCATCGTTGTAAACGAACAACAGAACCTCGAACTAGACTCACTCAGAACCATGGTGCTACAGCACCGCATGGCCCTTGATCTACTCACTGCCTCAGTAGGAGGTACGTGTATCCTTTTGAACACAATCTGTTGTACATATATCACCGACAATGTCCACTCCCAAAACATGACAGATGCAATGGCTAATCTCAAAGCCCTACAGACAGCTATGGGCCAAGACAGACATGCCTCTCTTGAGACCGGATGGTTCAATTGGCCACTCTCAGGGAGCTGGGTTCAAAAGCTCGTGATGGGATTTGTTGCAATCATATGTGTTCTCATCCTTGTGTGCTGTGCTATGGCTTGTATTATACCATGTGTTAAAGCTATGGTTGGTAAAATAGTTACCAACACTCTTGTCCAATATACGATGTTGCAACAGACAGATAACGGTGACTATATTGACACAGACCCCTCTCAGAAGGACGAATATACTCACCTAACCTCCAATGTGTAAGACTTAAAGCTAGGTTACTGTCTGTCATATGACGAATGGTTCGAAAATGTCAAAAACAAGTGAATTAATTCTGAAAGTAATAAAGACACTGTAACCAGCTAGTAATTATGAAAAACAGGAGGGAATGTTAGAGTTTATTGAAGGATAAATGTGTTTTCATAATGTGTTTTCATAATGTGTTATCATAAATATGTTACAAAGAGACTCTAGTCAGAAAAGAGGAACAGAGAATAGTCTGTTCCGTGGACCATACACACACACACACACACACACACACCCACATGACTGCGAGTCACAAGACTCCCATTGACAAATAAGGCGTTGGTCATAACCACTTCCTCATGCATGATATGTAACTGTATTGTTGAAATAAAAAGACTGCACTGAGAGAAGACGAGTAGAGTTGGTTAAGGAGTGGACATTGCATGTCACTCGCCGATTCTCCTTGCAGCAAGTAAACTTGAAACTCGAGTACTGTTATCTCTGTTCACTGGATTTTGGTTATTGAACCGAGCTGGGGTTTTACCCTTACAAAGTAATATAGATACCTCACAGTGGCTTAAAGCCCACCTCCGCTCTGCGCCGTCCGTTAGATGAGCCTGGTCAGATTTAATTAAATAAGTTCAAAACACCGGCATAAAAGTTATAACAATAATCTGATTTTAATGGTAAAAAACACAATACGAAATACAGAGTGCCCTGTAACAGAGCACTCCGGGCTCCCCGCTCTACTGCCGTGCGATACAGATATCGGGACCAGCCAGTCAGAAACAGGGGGCATTTTTAATGAATAAACAACAGTATATATAGACATATTTGGGGCGGAGGTGTGTCGGCTCTTCCGTCCCATTTGACTCCTAAGCAAATCAGAGAGTCCGTGGGGAGGAGTTGGGTCGGTTGCTCACTCCCCTAGGTGTTCTTACTGCTTGGATTCACTTTGGGTCGGGCCCAATACAGCGAATCAGAGTACTGGGAAAAAGTATTTTTCTTCTGAACAGAGCGTGAGAGCCTCGGAAGTAAACAAGGACAGAGTCACTTTTTATCTTGCACCTGAGTTCACTCCTTTCCTTTCCCAAGGAATATTTCACACAAACTCTATTCTTTCCCAGACAATCAAACATTGTACACAGATATATTGGTGCTTGAGATTATATTGGCCCCAGAAAGAACCTTGAAAAGAATATGTGTGTGTGCTGGTGGAAGGAGGTGTATGTGTGTGTAGCAGGGTATCTGGGTCATTGAGTGTAAGTGAGAAGGTTATATATATATAGGATTACTTTAAAACAGTCCCAAATAATACATGTTCACTTCAATACAGTTTAAAATAATACATGTTTACTTTAATACAGTTTAGAACAAACAAATTAACTTTGATCTTTACTATTTAAATGGGTAAACGTTTTTCGGGCTACTACGTTGGGATCGCGGAGAAATGCTCTCCGTGGCGTAGTCCCATTCTCACAGCGTTATAAACCTTTTTCTTACTCAATATCAAGCCACACTTATTGTTTTTACTTCGGCTGTGAGTGTTTGTGTGTGCTCAGCATGAGTTTCGCTTGTTCTCCTGTATCGCCGACACGGAAGCCTGTCTGCTCCTTGCAGCTGCGAGCAGCAACGAGCATCGCAAACGTCCCGACCAACCAGAGCACACTGGGCTCACAGGGAGGGGGCAGGAGCTCCAACAAGCCCTTTAGGACAGAGAGTGAATACCGGTGAATACACATACTATACAGAGATGCTGTATGAGAAACCAATGTGAGTTTCGCAATTAATTTTTAAAAAAAATTACCGCCGTTAACGCGATAATTTTGACAGCATTAATATATACGAAAACTAGATATAGGGTCATTTTCTGCACATGTCAATAGCAGTTTCAACTATCTTTTTTTGGAAATTAAAATACTATATATAAATATATACATAGGTACACATGTACTTGGCAAATGAATAATAATAATAATATGCATAATTTCATATAAACATTGAACACTTATTTTCAAGTGACTTTTTTTACATTCATATGTTCACGCTGTGGTTTGGAACTGCTTTTGAATGTTATTAGGCATTTTCCTATGGAAAATGTTGTGCATAATCAGTACTGTTTTAAGCTGTACTATCTCAACACATTTTAATAGATTGAGTTTTTTTAAATATGGGAGTTGTGTGTTCATATTTACCAACACCACAGACTATTCGTAATACTTTTTTTTGGGATGTTATTATTTTTTGTAGATTTGTTGAGTACGTGTTTCCCCATATTTCGGAGCAGTAGTAAAGGTAAGGGAGAAATAGACTGTTATAAAGAGTATTTTTTCTTCAAGAATGTTCTTAGTATGATACAAAATGCCTATTGTTTTTGACAGTTTCGTCCAGGGGTCGGCAACCCCTGGCACGCGTGCCAGCATAGGCACGCGTGCCATTTCTTTGTAATCATTATTTGTAATACTTTCTGCTGACACCAGGTGGGGCTGTGCCAGTCGCCACTGTGTGTTCGGTGAAGCATTATATGCTTACAAATCCAATGTAGGATATAAACACGACTAAACTGAATTGATAGCAAAGCTGTGGCTTACAGCCAATGAGTGACGTCTGAGGAAGATGAAAAATGTAAATTAAACATTGTTGAGAAAATGCTGCATCTCTTGCATTTATTGACATAGAGGAGCCTTATTGTTTGCCTTTTTAATATCATTTTTTGTAAATTTCAATTGCTTGGTTTTCGTGAAATTAGCCTGTTTTCCTATTAAAGTGTAACAGATTGATGCATCTCCACAGATCATCTTAAAGGCTTCGGAATCCCCCCATTGTAGTTAAAAAAAACGGTCAAAACTAGGGCCCCCAAACAGCATCTTGCATAGGGCCCCCAAAAAGCTAGAAACGGCCCTGTGTGTGAACATTCGGTTTTCAGAATAAAACAGTTTTAAATCAAAAAAGTGTATTTAATTTAAATTCCGCCATATAAACATTGATTTTATTTCTTACACATCACGCACTCTAAGCCTTAATGAGCTGCGCAATTCACACTAATGTTAAAATCTGAAGAATTTCACTTTACCAAGCTCCAAACTAAGTTAAATATCTAAAAAAAGTTAGAAGATATAAAGAATCTGAATTTCAATTACAAGTTCAATAGCTGCATGTCTTGTGACCGTTTTAAAGTTGGAATGAAGTCTCTAGCTGAAAGTATGTGGAAGAAGTAGCATCTGGCACAAGGTGTAGGTAAAAGAGGATTTGAAGGTTCCTCCCATTGAGTTACATGTTAGAAAAAGAGTTTAAAAAGCTGAATATTTCAAAAAGTATAACATATTTTCAAGAGGCTGAACATTTCACGTCATGTGCTGAAAAGGCTGAATATTTTGATATTTGAATGGTTTCTGTAGCTGAAAGTTATTGAGAGCCACAATTTGGTGAACTAACTAGAAAAATTTCCTGCTGAAAATGCGTGCGAATGCTGTAAACTGTGTACATTTGTTGCTGAATTTAGCTGAATATTGTATTAGTTGAATGGGCTCTGTAGCTGCTTTTAGCTACAAAAAACAAGTAAGTGTGTTGCAGAAAAGTGAAATGATTTGAATCAAAATGGTTAAAGCTGTAATGCATTGCAATGACTTTGTTGAACACTTGAAAGTGAAATGTTAAACTGGAAGAGTAGGACAAATAGTGAAGATGCTTAATATTTAAAAGAAAAGGTTTAAAAAAGGTATAAACAACATATTATTATTTTTTTAACGTAGGAGAGGTTTTCCTACGTTTTTCATGAAAAATTATGTCCAAGGAGTGTAGATTTGGGAATTATGGCAGGTTTAAAATAAGTTTTTAAGGCGAATTTCAAGCTCTCCTCCACTCTAGCTGTGACATAACTTTATAACATTTTAACATCACGCACTCTAAGCCTTAACGAGCTGCACAATACACACTAATGTTAAAATCTGAAGAAGGCCTCTTTACCAAGCTCCAAACTAAGTACAATATCTCAAAAAGTGTAAAAGATATAAAAAATCTGAATAAAATTCCAATAGCTGAATGTCTTGTGACCGTTTCAAAGTTGGAATGAAGTCTCTAGCTGAAAGTATGTGGAAGGAGTAGCATTTTGCAAACAGTGTAGCTAAAAGAGGATTTGAAGGTTCCTCCCATTGAATATTTCAAAAAGTATAAAATATTTTGAAAAAGTTGAAAGTTTCCCATCATGTGCTGAAAAGGCTGAATATGTTTGATATTTGAATGTTTTCTGTAGCTGAAAGTACACAAAATAAGAAGAATAGTCCGGGAGCCGTGGGGTTGAACCTTGTTTCATCTGATAACGTTTTTTTCTCTGCTGTTTCTTGTAGCTTAGGGGTACCTCTTCAAAATCCAAGAGGGTGCCCGGTGATATCCCTTGAGAATTTTCAGATATTAACCCCTTTATGCCCAAAATTCCCACCTCCCTGAAAAATAAGGATTTATGAGATTTCATGCAAAATTCTCAAATTTGCTTTCTCCAATGTTTATTCATAAAGGAGGTCATGTGTTCCAAGTTAATGAATATTGATCCTTTTATGCCAAGCCAGCAAAACAGGTCGCTGGATGAACCTTCCTACACCCATTGAGCTTTTGAGATCCAGAACAATGTTTTTGTTATTTTTTATTAATATATGCTTTTCATGTCACGTCTAACACATGTTGTAACGATTTCATCTAAAGTGTAATTTACCCTGTGATTATGTAATTAAACCATAATTGCAAGATTTTGTTGTCATACGTATTCTGCCTCCAGATTGTATTTTGGTATTTGGCTATGGTACCGTTCCTGTATTATTCCTAGCTATTTGAGTTTGCTAGTCAAGACAAAAACACACTGGGGAATGCAACTCTTTGGATCATCCATCCACTTATTTTATGCCCTTGATGAAGCATAATCTGTAAGTATTTTATTTCTAAGATTATTGTGGACACTATTATATCTTATATTGACTATTATTTCACATTGTTACACATTTGTTTTTCTTTCTCATGATGCTAGCTATTGATGTAGTCTACTGTTAGTGTGGCTATCATTCAATGCAAATCAGTCAAGAATAACACTGGAAATGGGTAGGCTATTAGAATAAAATATTAGCATAGATGGGCATGTAAGTGTACCCTCCTGTTGTGTTCGTTCCCCCCCCCCCCCCCTTACTTTGGTGTTCACGGTCAAATTTGACCGGTCCTGTTTTAACTGCAATTACATTAACACAAAAAACATTAATCACCAAATTTCATTTAACACCCTTTCAAACTGTACATGTTGTATTAGACTACTGGTATACATGAACTGTATAACTAAACTGCAGTAAATATACAAAGAATAGACACTGAACATGTATTGCGTGTGCCAGATGTGATCTTTGTGGGGGGATGGGCACATAAGGGGGGGAAACACATCTAGTGTATGTGTGGGTGTTTGTGTGTGTGTTTTATCTGAGCCCGATAGTTACTAATTCCATTTCT